GCATTAGCGGTGTTGCGTGAGGCTCATCGACCAGATAGCGCCGCCATGTTCATCATAGCCTGCCGGGAAATTCATGGAGAGTTTATAGAAGGGTTAGATCCAAACGACGACGCATCTGCCACAATCAAGGAAAAATTGGTTGTGTTACGAGGATTAAACCCAGAAAGTGAAGAAGTCATTGGTGTCGGGGAGTTATACACAAAATACCAACAGGAATTAGTTCATCTCTGCATGGATTCACAACCATATTCCGATTAAAATTTCGGAAATCCCCCAACCTACGTACTCATATTAAAGCATATTGTACTACACTTAAAAACAACAAGAAGAAGATTAAACCTCACTATACACCGAATTACGAATTACATCCTTGTGGTTATATATATATATATATATATATATATATATATATATATATATATATATATATATATATATATATATATTCACATACATTACGAATTTAGACTACAACTTTAAAATTTTAGTAATAATAATATCAGTCTAAAGTAAGTATTTTACTCCTTTCACCTTCTTCCTTGTTACACTAGGTTAAGTACGTTCATGAGAAGTAACAAAAGATTAAAAGGAAAACAATAAAATAATTCCCTTGGGGGTGGGAGTGGGACTCGGCCACCTCTCTCTTTCCATAGCTAGGTTTTTCTTGTTTTTCAATATGTGTGTTGGTGGAAGGATGTCTCTCATATAAAGCCTGAAAGTTCAAATCTCTTTAAAAACAAAATGAGTAGTTAGAATGTGTGGTTGTTGTTCTAAAAAAAGGTTATGAGTTTAAACAAAAATCATGACTTCAAAGTTGGAAAGTTTTGCAAAAGTGAAAACATGTTCATGTTGAATACTTGGTTTTGATATAATGGGGTGTTTGAGATTGCTTATTTAAAACAACTATGTTTATTTGTAAAATTGTTTATTAGCTTTTTTGACGAAAAATTGGAGTTTATAAAAAATATTTGTGTTAACTTATCCGATATAAAATGCAATAAGTTGATAGTTGTTTTTTTAATGTTTGACAGTTTCTACTTATAGATGTAAAATGACCAATAAAGACTAGATATATATTGATATTAGACGAATACTCACGCGTTGTGCAGAATACAACAATATATTTGAAATTTTTATAAATATATGTTTTTTTAAATATATCAATGGCGTTGTTAACTCTTATATAATAAATCTTATAATAAGTTGGTATAAACATTGTTTGATTTGAATTATATGATAATGTAGATATCTTTTAAAATTCTATAATCTCAATTGTCACAATGACCTCTACGCACATGTTACTAATGAATAAAATTAAATATAATATATTGTTAATGGTATTTATAGTTTTTTGTTATGATTAATTGATTTTATAAAGTTTATTTGCTTAAGATTTTAATTTTTATCATTATAATTATTTAAAACATCAAAAATTGCTTTTGTTTTTAAAGGCAACACTATAATTTTTGTATATAATGTTACTTTTAACTATTATTGTTGTAAGTGATTTAAAATAACGTATTTGAAAACTCCTAATTATTTTAATTTGGTTTCAGAAATTTAACTTTTTTAAAATTTATTTGATGAATATTATTAGTTTCTTTGATTGTAATTATTTAAAACAAACATTGTTTTTGTTTTTAAATATAACATTATAATTTTTTATATAATTTACTTTTAACTATTTTTATTGTAAGTTATTTTTAAGTTGTTTATTTGAAAATTCTTAATGATTATAAAAAAAAAAATAGTTTCATACTTTTTTTTGTTACATTAGGATTACAATTTAAGGGTAACTTTATAACTTATAATTTTTAACTATTTATAAAATAGTCTCGTTTTTTTTCAAGTTTAACTGAAATTTTGATTTAAGTTATAATTTAACTATTTGGCATAAAGTCGTAAATTATACAAAAGTTGTGACTTTAAAATGACAATTACTCACATACGACAACATATTTAAACTAATAAGTTAACTATAATATGTTAAAAAAGTAAAAGTCATGATTTTATGATATTTTAATATTATCGTTTAGTTAATTTATGATTAGAATTTTGTTTTTACACAACAATGGCATATGTAAACGTTTTTGAAATGTATTTATTAAATTAGTATCAAATTTTGGATTAGATCATTATTTAATAGCATTAACCTCAAAATATATTTACTTTAGGTAAGAAGAATTGGTTAAGCACAAAGTGGCTGTAACACCCATAAAATTTGAGCCAAATTAAAACATTTTAAATCATTCAAAAACCATTACGTTCATACAACTCGTTTTCAAAATAGTTTAAACATCAGAGTATCCCCCAGAACCATATCATATAAATCATAAAACATGAGGAGCGGTACGATCACGCCTTCACCTTGCCACGATCTCCTAAAGTTCCTGAAACAATACACTGAAACTATAAGCCCGAAAGCTTAGTGAGTTACCCCCAAAATACCAACCACACATATCATACTCATAACATATCATAAATAGAACAGTTATCCACATCGGGTCTACTGTGTAACTGGTCCGCCCGCACCGGGCCTTCAGTCCACCTGGTCCACCCTCCGAGTCTAGCCATGTACGTCGAGTCTACAGTGTGATTGGTCCGCCCGCATCGGGCCTTCAATCCACCTGGTCCACTCTCTGAGTCTACAGTATGACTGGTCCGCCCGCACCGGGCCTTTAGTTGGCCTGGTCCACTCTCCGAGCCTCGGCACGTCTGGTCCGCCCTCTTGGGGCCTTCAGCCTATCCGGACCGCTCGCTGGGCCTTCGGAACATCCGGTCCGCCCTGGGTATGTTGGCCTACAGCACAAAGCAGGACCCGCCTCAACCCAACCCCCGTCAAACAACCATGTGCACATACAACAATTAATCACATAACAATCCTCAACTAGACAAACAGTCTAACAGATCACATAGCATATCAACATCCTAACCAGGATTCCGACCTAACCGGTAACTAGCATAACATTACCCTATATCCCGGGTACCGACCTTAACCAGGTCACTAACATAACACCATCCTAAATACCAGGATGTAGATCTAGCAAAATAATAACATAACATACAATACCCGGATTTCCATCCGATAAAGGGTCGGCCTTGGTGCCGTAGACCCTGTCGATATAGTGAGGATAACTCACCTTGCAACTGTCGAAATCCTGCAAATCTCTGACCGCTGACTCACCGGGACTCCCAACTATCACATGATAATCACCAAGTTAGAATCCAACATGACTTTCTAGGCCAAGGGCCCACAACACTCATTAAGTCCATCATCCTCTTATTGGGCCAAGACCCAAAACCAAATCCTCATGTAAAGCCCAATATTGGCCCAATTTACTAAATTGGGCCCACCTCACCAAATGGGCCTAGATCCAAGGTCCATAATAATTATTGGGCCCAAATTACTCCATCTATACAGTTCAGTCACGGCCCAAGCCCAGCTAGCCCATCAACAGCCCAATACTTCACGGCCCAATTTCGAAAAACCCAACAGATACGCGGGGCGTACGCACGTCTGTACCAAAAATCCTTCTAGGTGCTTAATGGCTTAAGCACTCAAGCCCATATGCCAGATCTAGTGACAAAAAGGGCCTAGGACTCATAAAGTCTGAAACTTTATCCTGTTTGACGTCCATAAAGCTCTTAACTCAAGGTCTTAACCCATTAAGACCTCCCTACTTCACACATGGGGCAACCAAAGCCATTGGGACCTCATTTTTCTCACTCAAGACCTCTCCTATGGTCTGAAAGGACAACTTATCTTAACCAAAACACATCATGCATCATATTGGGGGTTTTTGGGACAAGAATGGTGTCAAAATTTACAACACTTAGATCTACACAAAATAGATGTCAAGCAAGAAGCTTTATACCTTAAAATAGTTGCAAAAGGTGCTGCTATCTCAGATCTACAAGCTCCAGCCACCAAGGTTCCTTCTTTGCCAACCTCTTCTTTCAACTTCTAAGCTTTCCTTGCCAAACTAAGCTCCACAAGGCCAAACACACCCAATAATGGAAATGGAACGGCTATCTAGGGTTTTCTGAGGATAAGGGAACAGATAAGGAGGCTAGGGTTGATCCCTTATGTTCTTTATATAGTGGCTGGCCCCAAAATTAGGGTTTAATGACTCTGAGCGTACGCTGGGCGTACCTCTAGTACGCTGGGCGTACGCGTCCTTGCACCCGCGAACATTTGCTCTATTACGTTGGGCGTAACCCAGCCTACGCTGGGCGTACCCACGCGTGTCCCAATTGCATGCATGGCCTACTTCGACACCTTTTTCCATTAAGGGCCATAAATGTCACTTTCTTTAAAATGTCATAACTCCTTTATTCTAAATCCGTTCCTGACGAACTTTATATCCACGAAAAGGTGGCGAGAAGCCCTATGCTTCTAACGACACAACCCGGTCCGAAACCTTCTCGAATGAAAACCATTGCCCACAAAAGACCGAAACGCCCTTACTCTTGATCTCGGAAATTCATAAATAAATACTTTTAGAACGGGGCGTTACAGTGGCACATGTTACGTTACAGGAATACAACCCTCCTAACTGTCACCTATGTATATCTCGTATCATAAACCCTCAACTTGAACCTATCATAAAACCCTGCCCTAGTTTTCAACGTAGTTTCTCATTCGAAAATTTAGTAACGGTATATGTTACGTTTCACCAAAAATGGAATTTTGTCTGTTGTCCCTGGATAAATCTTGATTTAGCTTTAGCTTAACAAATGTTTAATGTTAAAAAACTAATGGAAGTGATGGTCACTCACTTATAATATAATGCTTAAAAGAGTTCATCACCATAAATTTAAGCCTTCACGCCACAAATGTAATTTCCAAAGGGTTCTTGTCTCTTTCACTAAACCTTCAACCCGTTGTAGATTACAAAGCTCTTTGCCTAAATATATTCATCTTCTTAGCCTAATAATCTGAGCTTATAAATGTTCTTTTTTTAACTTGATCTTGATCTTGACATTTCCTTTTTATTTCCATGGATTCCGAAAGCAGTTTCGATGAGCGGTATACCCTCACATTCACCAAATCTTCATGGAAAACTCCTCAATGGAAGTATGACGTGTATCTCAACTCCATACATGAAGATCCAGATAGACATGGAAAAACATTTACAGATCATCTATACACAGCTTTAGCTGGAGACGATATACACACTTTTAGAGCTGATGGCTTTGATCAACTGCCACCAAGTGTCAACAATCTTGAGGCAATTGAGGGGTCAAACATTTCAATTGTTATTTTTTCAAAAGAATATGCTTCTTCAAGGTCTTGTCTTGATAAGTTAGTGAAGATCATGGATTGCAAGAAAAGCATCGGACAGTTGGTTCTTCCGGTGTTCCATCATGTTGATCCTAGTGATGTACACAAACAAAGTGGGAGCTTTGAAGCTGCTTTTATAAGCCATGAACATGAAGAGTGTTTTGATCCTGAAAAGATTAAACAATGGCGAGTTGCATTAACCGAGGCTGGAAATCTAGCTGGATGGGATATACAAGATGACATCAATGGCTGGTAATTAACACTTTGATATTCAACTATGCATTCTTCCTTTTTTCACACAAGAGGATTACTAGAATATAAAATAGTTTATATATAAGCAGGTATGCAGAAGAATTCATTGAAGCTATTGTAATGAAGGTTGTGCAAAGATTAAAACGTAACAAGTTTCTTGTAAAGCATCCGGTTGGTTTGCATTCACGTCTCTTGTATCTAAAAAACCTAGTGGCTATATTTGGACAAGAAGATGTGGGTGTAGTTGGGATCTATGGTATGGGTGGCATTGGTAAAACAACCATAGCAAAAGAATTCTATAATGAAGCCATTCATCACTATGAACATACTTGTTTTCTTGAAAATGTTAGAGAAGAATCAAAACAGTTTGATGGTTTAGTTCGTTTACAAGAGCGACTTCTTTCTGCTTTAAAAGGAAAGAATCATAGGGTCACAAGCGTTGACCAGGGGATTGATTTGATAAAAGAAAGGTTAGGTTGTAGGAGAGTTCTTGTTGTTCTTGATGATGTAGACCAGTTGACCCAAATAGATTCTTTAATTGGGGAATCTTTGTGGTTTGGTAAGGGAAGTTTAATCATCATGACAACTAGAGATGAACATCTTCTAGATCAAGCTAAAGTTGATTACAAATACGAGGTTAATGAATTGAACAATGAAGAGTCTTTAATGTTGTTTAACTGGCATGCTTTTAAAAGCCCTATTCCATTAGAATCGTTCAAGAACCTTCTGGAAGACATTGTAAAGTATGTTGGACGACTTCCATTAGCTCTTGAGGTCTTAGGATCTTCTTTATATAACAAGACCATGGAAGAATGCAAAAACACACTTGCGGAACTTAAGAAATTTTCTCCGGACGATGTTTTGGAAAGATTAAGAATAAGTTTTGACACTCTGGATGACACGGAAAAGGATATATTTCTTGATATTGCATGTTTTTTCAATGGAGTCGAAAAAGAATTTGCAATCAAGATATTTGATGGGTGTGGATTCTTTGGAGCAATTGGAATTAGTACCCTTGTAGACAGATGTTTACTGAAAGTCGACATGGATGATAGGGTTAGAATGCATGATCTGGTTCAAGATATGGGAAGAAAAGTTGTGTGGGAGAAGTTTCCTCAAGAGCCCGGAAAACGTACCTGATTGTGGTTGCAAGATGATGTATGTAACGTGTTGATAAAAAATGAGGTATGATCATTATTTTATCTGGAGAATTTTCAAGCTTAAAATCTTTATTTGTAGCAAGTTTTTTAATGCATTTATTTTATATGTTCTTATTAGGGGACCAAAGCGATTGAAGGTATGATATTGGACCTATCGACACAATCTCGTTTTAGTACAAGACCTTTTTCCAAAATGCCAAATTTAAGATTGCTTCAAATCAATAACATAGATCTTGTTGGAAGCTTTAGAGGTCTTTTCAAAGAGTTAAGATGGCTTTGATGGCATCGGTTCCCATTGGAGTCTTTACCAATGGATTTCCATCCTGAAAAACTTATTTCGCTCGATACGCAGAAAAGTAATCTTCATGTATTGTGGCGCCAAACAAAGGTCTAGTTCTTTAATCAAATTTAGTGTGTCACATCTCTATTCTTCATCATCATCTAAACTTTCTTCTCTTTTTATTTTTTTTGGATCAACAGTTTCTTGGTAACTTAACTATGCTTGATCTTCGTGAATCAAAGTCCCTCAAGACAACTCTTAACTTCAATGGAGTACCAAATCTATCCGAATTAAGACTTGGAGGGTGTGAAAAATTATCCAATATTCATACTTCAATCGGGAATTTGGAGAAGCTAGTTAGCTTAGATCTGGAAGAGTGCAAGAATCTCAAAGTTCTTCCAAACAGCATATGCAATATGAAGTCACTCGAAGAACTAAAACTTGGTAAGTGTGTAAAACTTAGAGGACTTCCCCATGAATTTGGGAATCTAAAAAGCTTAAAGACTCTTGATGATAGCCATGTTGGGATCAAACGGTTACCTCACTCAATCGGGGATTTGACTCAGCTCGAGTCTTTGAACCTGAACGGGTGTAGAAACCTCAAGAATCTTCCAAGTAGCATTTTCAATTTGAGATCAATTGCTATTCTACATCTTAAAGGCTGCTCAAGTCTTGAAAGTTTACCAGAGCAATTAGGTGATTGGAAAGGGTTGAGAGAGATTAATGCTAGTGGAACTAGGATTCAACAATTACCTTATTCAATCGGCATGTGTGAGCTTATAAGTCTGTCTATAACCGATTGTTCTACCCTCAAAAGTCTTCCAAACAGTATATGCAAAATGAAGACACTCAACATTCTACGTCTCACTAATTGCTCAAATATACAAGAATTACCAGATGAACTTGGAGATTTGGAACGCTTAGAAGATATTGGTGTTAGTGGAACTAGCATAAAACGATTACCTGATTCTATTCAACAAATACCTTATCTACATACTTTGTTGCTAAACAACTGCAAGACTCTTGAAAGCCTTCTAGGCAGGAATCTAGGGTTATCATTGATTCGAGTTTTAGCACTACGAGATTGTAATCTATCGGATAACGATTTCCCAAATGATATGTGGGATTTGTCAGGGCTAATGGTGTTAGACTTGTCAAACAACAATTTTTCTAGCTTGCTTTCTGGACTTGGTCAACTGTACAATCTTCAGGTGTTATATGTTGGTGGTTGTAAATCATTGTTAAAGCTCCCAGATGTATCAGGTCTTGAAGTTTTAAGGGCTGTAGATTTGAAGTATTGCAGCAAGTTGGTTGAAATCATGGGGTTGGAAAATCTTTCATCTTTACAAGAAATTTACCTGGACGGATGTAGTAGTTTGTCAATGGTGATGGACAACTTCTTTCTTCAGGGATATGGTCGAGGTCTATGTGATAGTAAGTTTTATGTTTCAAGGAGGGGGATTCCAGATTGGTTTGAGTTTCAGGGAGTGGGGGAATCATCAATGTTGATCGATACTGACACAGATACACCTTCTGGTGTTGAAGATGGTTCCTTACATTTGATGATTTGGGTTGATTACTTTTTTGGAGACGATGGTGATAAGTTCTTTCACACTGGTGTTAGGGTTGACAATAAAACAAGTGGTGTTAAATGGAATTGTGAAATTAGGGGGAGACAATCAGTAGAGTCGTGCATGATTCTAGGGCCGATGATTAAAAGTGGAGACAAGATTGAAGTTTCATTTGAGTTGGAAGAACATAGAGATGCCAAAGTGGAGAAGTTTGGAGTTCATCTTGCCTTTTCTTATCAACAACTGTAGCCCTGATGTTGAAGTTAGGTCCCGTTTTACAGTTGTTGACTGAGAAAGTGATGATTGGGAAAGATCAGACGGTAAGAAATGCTGACTGAGTAAGAAACCATATTGTTTGATTGTCCATCTGACTGAATGTGTTGACTGATGAAAAATGACTATTTTACTCTGCTGCTTTTTACAGTGATTTATATATATATATATATATATATATATATATATATATATATATATATATATATATATTATGATTAAACTGTAATATATAATTAAACTTTATGTAATTCTAGAAATGTGGATTTATATTGTATATTTAATTAAGTATTTGTATTATAGGAATGTTGATTTATATTGTATATTTAATTTTCATTATAAAATTAATAAAAAGGAACGCTCCTACGAACTAAAAGTCCAACCCATAGAAAATTAGTTGTTGGATGTTCATGTTACCTTAAACCTAAATAGTCAGTCCCACCAAAATTAATCTTCGCCGTCATCTCACCTTCACCCATCCTCCATCTCCTCCTAATTAGTCATCGTGCAACCACCGAAGCAGCAGGAGAAGGCTAGACACCTCCGTTACGGTTCATGCGCGTATCCTTCTCATGCCCATCATCTTCTGATTTCGCTCTATTATAGCTCGTTCGAGAAGGCAGAACACCGAACTCACAAGTTTTGCTCGTTGTTTTATATGTTCTTGCAGATGGACGATGCTATGAATCTGGAGAGCCAAAAAGTTCCTACTTTTGTAATCAAAGTGTCTCACGAAGCTAAATTAAGAGAGTTATTACGTAACCTCACCTCAATTGATCTTCAGTTATGCTCAAAAGCGTCAAAAGAGTTTATGAAGTTACTTAGAGGCGATGAAGGAGGCGAAATGTTAAGACAGTATGTACAGACATCTCCCAATTGTTCAGAGCTTCTACAAGCATGGAATTTACGACAATCGAAGCCTGGTTTGTCTTATATAATGTCGCTAATTAACGTTATTTTGAGTCATAAAGACGGTGTTTTCAAACCCAATGATGTGGCCAGGATTCCACTCAGTCGGGCTTTAGATAAATTTGCTCGTTTGATTCTTGAAGAAAAATTGGGAGATGTTTATAAGGAGTTGAACAATAAAGAAGGCAAAGGGAAGCATGCTACATTGTTGTTGATGGCTTCTGTTGTTAGAAGGGGTTCTGGGCTGGCTTCTGATGTTGCTAAGAGTTTTGATTTTAAATTACCAAACTTTTTGAAGCTAGCAGAGTATGATAAGAGGAGGAAGAACATGGAAAAGATAAAACGAAAGAGTTCTACAAGGAGGTCATATGTTAGGTTTGCTATGTCCTTTCTGGAAATTGGGGAGCCTAGGCTGTTGAGGTGGGTGTTGCAGCAGAAGGACATGTTTTCTGGTGTTCTTCGTGGGCTTGGGAGTGATGAAGAAGACACTGTTGTTTATGTTCTATCTACATTGAGGGACAAGGTGCTTGTCCCTAAGTCTTTGGTGCCTGTGGGGCTTAGAAGTGTTTTATTCGGGAGTGTTACTTTGGAACAGTTGATTGACATATCTGGAAGAGATGATGGTGAAGCTTCCACTGAGGTAGCACAGAAGGTTCTATTTATGGTCTGCACTGACCCTTCTAATGGTTTGATGCCAGATGCAAAGGCATCACCCTTTCCCTTGAAGGGAAATCCAACACGACTTTTGGGTGTTATGAAGAAGCTCAAAGCTACTGAGATTGACTTTCACAGGGATCTGCTATTAGGGATTGTGCGTGGAAGCCCATCATTTGGCTCTGCATACCTTGATGAGTTCCCTTACAACAACCTTGAAGATCATGCAAACTGGTTACATTCCTTCTTTACTCTTTTGTGTGTGTGTGTGATATTACTTTTAGTTTTATTATGTTACTGAAGTACTTGCAGGTTTGCTGCTGTTTCATTGGCTGCAAACTTGATCGCTTCGGTGAATGCAGGTTTGTCTTTTGATTTTCTTGATTCAAAGCCCCAGGAGCCACTGTCTATTAACAGATCTGAAGTGCAAAGTATAATAAAGTGCATAGGTCCTCGTTCTTTTAATAGAATAGTCATGAATAAGGGATTACTTCACTCTGAGTCTCAGATACAACATGGAACATTACGGCTTGTTTTGGAGGCATTGATGTTATTAGATTCTCTCTTTTCTGCTATAAACCATAGATCAGAATCTAGCAAGCAAATTGAGTGTAAGTGGGTGTCACTTAAGCAAGATATTCAGAATGAAGTGCAGTTGTTGCTCCCTGATCATCAAGTCTTGTTGTCATTGATTTCTTCTCTCAAGAGTGAGGAAAGAATTTTGAAAAGAGGTCCAGATACATCTGTTTTACTTGAACATCGTTCTAGAAGTAAGAAGCTAAAAACATGTACTACAATTGAGGAAACAGATATTCTTGTTGGTGGTATCAGTTCTACCCTGGACATGGAAATCCCAGATGATGATGAAATAATCCACGAAGAGGATGTTGTGAAAGACTCTGAAAATCTGAAGGGTAATGCTAGTTTAATCACACAACTCTGGGAATCACATGAAAGCAATAATCTTGACATGCTCACAGAAGATGAAGAATCATATTTCTACTCCAAGTTGCTTGAAGCCCTCAAATTTTATCATGTAAGTTGAGTTTTTCAGAATAATAATATTATTGGTTTCTGACAGTGTATGGTGTTAACTTGCAGCGTACCATGCCATCTGTTCTAGAAGGATCATTTGATTTCTTTAAAGTTCTACCAACCAATGCTATATCATTACCAACTATCCTGCTGCAATCTTTATTGTCACTATTAGTTGAACACATTGGTTGCTCTTCAAAGCAAGATGTTCCCATGAGATGCCCACCATTGATGTACAAACATCTGATGCATTTCATTAATTTAGTTGTGAATTCACCTGTGAAAGACATCATAAAAGATCAAGCTTATGTGCTGGCACATGCAGCCATGTTAAGCACTGGAGCTTTTGACAATAACAAAAGGGAGATTGATGCATGGCTTTTGTTTCTTCCTGGGTTTAGGTTTAGCACCAAATCAACTGTACAGAACTTCTCTTCTGTTGTCAGTTCCTTTTTCTGTGATGTTGTTTCTACACTTGGAAACAATTTATTCAAATATTGGGATCTTTTCAGGTCTCAAATCAACCACTTGGAAAACACTAAAGGTTTGACTTTTGTTTATTATTCCGAATAGCTTTTATGAATCCTTGTATTTATACTTTTATCTTTTTTCCCATCAGATATGCATCCTCAGCTCAGTCCTCTCTTTGTTTGTGTCCTTGAAAAGTGCCTAAGGCTCCTTGGTTCTGAGTCTGGGACCTTTACTTCACCTGAAAAATCAATGATATCTATATATGTCAGCAGCACTTTGAGATACCTCTTGCAAACTCAGGTATGTAGCTCTTGTTTTCTAATATTAGAAGATCTATATGTCTTGATTTCATGCATAACAATAGAGAGATCTGATTTCTGTAGGTGGAGCCTGGATTGCTATCTTCTCTGATATGTCTTTCATTATCCGAGAGACTCAAGGATGTTGATGACAATTCCTGTGAGTGGAGGCCATTAAAAAGCCTGTTGCACTTTTCAAGGAGTATTGTGAATCAAGAAAGTTGCATGTTTTCTTCAGTTGATAGAAATAGGAGCCTTGATGATGATTCTTTTGTCAATCTTGTTGGTGAAAATGCCACTCTAGCAGAGAGTGAACATAATTCTGGGATCACCACCACGTTTATATCATCATTGCTGTGTGCTTCACCTGATCTAATGTTGCAGCATTTCCCGGAAGTTATATCTATTTCACAGAAACTAAGTGGAGTTCCTTTTTCTATCCTATATTCTATCTGTTTTCTTGAAAGGAGTTTTTTCAATGATATCTGCAAGTCATGGCCTGAATTGTCATTTTCGGGATTAGAAAGGGCAGTTGATGATCAAAGCAAAGGGGATTCAACAAATTCTTGTGAAGCATTCTCTTGTTTTCTGAAGCAGGCTCCATTTTATGTGGTGTTTCCAGCTATTATAAGCCCTGGATGCTTGTATTTATCCAAGTCATCCAACCTTCAGGACTTGTTGTTGGCTAAGCTGTCAAAAGAGATGTCTGATAATTTTGTTTCTTCTTTCCGCCTTGTGTTTTTCTGGTTTCATCATGTACAGGCTTCCTACCATAATGAACCAGCTGAAGAGTATGTGCAGATTTCTGAAATCTGTTTTGCCCTCATAAAGAGCATGTTGGCTCCTGGATCCAATCTTTATGCCCAAGAAATTGCTGAAACCATTTTCTGTCATCCTGCTGTTGTAAGTTCTTTAGAAAGCCCATTATCTTCTAAAAAAGAACTAAAAGACGACATTTTTCAGCATCCCACAGATAGTTTTCTTTCTTTAGCAAGAGAAGGACTTCATATAATGGATTATCATGTTTTACAAGCAGTAGAAATGTTTTCTAACCGTTTGCATGAGGATTTTGGGCATGCAAATAAGACGATTGCAAGGGTTTTCAAGTGTTTCCTTCAGAAATTGGTTCTGATGCTAAAGGACAGGTTTGATCAGTTCATAGAATCCCAAGTTCCTTTCTCCCTGATTCCAACATTATTTGCTATTCACACCTTGATTCAATTCATATCCCCTCAAGAGCTTCTTGAATTGGCTTATTGGATTTTCTCCAGAGTTAATGAATCATCTGTTCCCGAATCTTTTAAAATTTCTGCTCTGTGTGTTGGATTAAACATTGCTGGTTGTGCTTTCGACTTGCTGCTGTGTGATGTCAAGAAAGTGCCACTATGTTTTAGTGGCATACAAGATTTTGATGTTGCTCTATTTGAGAAAGTGTATTTTCACATAGTTGAGATCGCCTCCCATTCTGAAATAGTTGTTGCAGATCTTTGCTTGAATAAAGCTGTTAAGATTGCAAATATACATACTGGTTCAACTCCAACTCCTCAATCTCTTCCACATTCCATGGTCATTTCAAGGATCATAGAAGCCACACCCATGAATTTGCTCTCAAAATGCCTTAAAAAAACCAGCATGATTAAGGCTAAACTTTTGTTTCATTTAACCGAGTCGAGTCTCCTTCATCTATCTTTCTTTGGACTTACTTTCATGGAGATGGTGAACAAATCTTCAGTTAGCAAAAAGAGGAAGAGTGGTGTACATGATGATGACATGTTAATGCTTCTGCCAACTGCTCTATCTTTCTCAAATTTCATCTCCATGAGATATGGGGACAAGTGTTATGAACATCTTAGAAGTATACATGCTTTGTATTGGGAGATATTATCCAATGGGTTCTCTAACTGGAAGAGCTTTGTTTCTAGAGACATATTTCAAGTAAAACCAGACAAATCCGTGCCTTCAACTGTGGAAGAACTTTGTGATCTTTTCAACAACACTCTTCTTGGAAGAGCAGTTGCTATCATGCAACATCATCTTGTATCAAGTGAGGCCACTGTCAAAATGAGCAAGCGATTGAAGTTATTTGATTCTGTTCTTCCATCTGGAACTGATAATCTTCTGGACTGTGGTGCTTTTAAAATTGATCGTTATTCTATTGATCAATCTTTGAACCTTGTTATGAAGGTAGTAACAAAGGTACAACTTTGTAAGATATTGCTATTTCCTAAAGGAAATTTTCAACCTCTTGCTAAAGGAAATGAAGAAAACGGAGAGATAGGACAATCTTCTTTAGAAGTAATGTCTAACAAAGAACACTTAAGAAGTGTAGTGTTCATGAACACATTGGTGTACACTTGGCAGTTAATAGTTGAACAAGTCCCTTCAAATTCTATTTCAGTTGAAGGCACAAAATGTGCATTGTTCAGGCTTTTGGAGATATTTATTTTGAGGATTATCATTGAAGTTACTGCAGAGATGCATAAGAATTCTGATATGAAATCAAACTCTGTTATTAACCTAGAACAACTTGCAAGATCTTGTCTTCGTTACAGGTTTGAAGATCCTGCAACACTCAGCATGCTTCGATCTGTTCTAACTTTTGAAGCAGAAGATAAATCCTTCCATATTCAAATTCTTCAGCTGCTGGTGAATCACTCACAGTTTGCACCCACCATTCAATCTGCCTCTAAACCCTCTACTTCTCTACAGTTTGGTATCATTTTTAGACCCATGTCAAGTATTCTGAGATCACTTACTTTTCATAATGCCATTGTTAAATCAGATCCTGATCTCTACATGAAGCAATTGGAAATTGTTAAATTGGTTAGGGTGCTATGCAGTTTCAGGGCTCAGATGGGCAGTATGTTGTTTGAACAAGATATTGGGGTAACTACTAGAGATCTGATGTTCTTGCTTCTATCTTCTTATGGTGCTACTCTCACTAAAAAAGACTTGGAGATATACAAACTCATTCAGGAACTTGAAAGTATTGATGAAACAAACCCTAGTTATATAGCTGATATGGATTATCTATGGGGAGCAGCTGCTACAAGGGTTAGAAAAGTACGTGAGACAGAAAAGGCCTTTTCTTCTGATCACATGGATGATGACTCAGAAGCTGTTGAAAAAGGGCGGAAAAGTCAATTCAGAGAAAACCTTCCAATTGATCCAAGAATGTGTGCAGCCACAGTACTTCATTTTCCCTATCACAGAAACATGAGTCCAGGAGATAATGCTGGACATGTGGCTGAGGTACTATGTTTTTTTTTTCTCTTTTTTCTTGAAGCTTGTTCATATGTCGATTGCTGGTTTTTTATGAGGGCATTTTTGTAATTCAGGCACAAGCTGATATTGAGTCAAGAAACATATATGATCCAGTTTTTATCTTGCACATGTCACTACATGGTTTGTCAATGGATTACATCGAACCTGTTGAATTTGCAAGCTTAGGCCTGCTTGGTGTTGCATTTGTTAGCTTATCTTCACCTGATGATGAGATGAGAAAATTGGGTTACAAGGTTCTTGCAGTATTCAGGAATGTTTTAGAGGTTAGCAATGCTTGTTACTATTATTCAAGTTTTTTTTTTGCTCTTTTTTGTTGATGTAATTATGGTGTATTTTGTCAGATAAGTCAAAAAAGAAAGGATATAAACCGAGTTCGCCCATTGCTAACATATGTGCAAAATGGTATATCAGAGCCATGGCAGAGGATTCCTTGTGTGCATGCTTTATTTGCTGCAGAAGCTTCTGTATTGTTATTGGATCCTTCAAATGATCATTACAAAACTATAACCAAACTTGTGATGCACTCCCCTATGAATACAAAGGTATGGGGTGGGGTTTCCTTGTGTTCTTGCTTTCCTTATACAATTCTGTTACTAATGTTATTTGGCTCTTAAACTATCTTGCAGATGATATCATTCTTTGATGAGTTCTTCTGGAGTAATTCTGCTAGTTTTAAAGCAGATAGGATATGGATTCTTCGCCTACTATATTGTGGCCATAACTCAGAAGATGATGCTCAGATTTACATCAGGAGCTCAATTTTAGAGAAACTGCTTAGTTTTTATAGTTCCTCTCTTTCAGATAATGAATCAAGGGAATTAATCCTTGAGGTAACAAACAAGCTTTATCTACAAGTTATGATGCATTTGTATTGTTTCCTTACAATTAAATATGTTGATTGTATGCTGCAGATTGTGAAGAAGTTAATGAAATTTGATAAGACATCAAGATATTTAATCGAGCGATGTGGTGTACTTTCATGGTTGTCTTCCCTTATTTCCAACACACACGAAGAACATAAGAAGACACAACTGGAGATAGTAAATGGTGTTGTCACCTCCATGAACACAAGTCAATGGTTGGAAACAAATTGTGTGGAGCAACTGACACAACTCACACACCATTTGTGTGTGCTCTTTACGGATCAATTTGAGGTGGTGAAAGAAATGCAGTTGGTTGATTCAGTTTTGGAAGTAATTTGTTCAACATTGAAGATATCAGAAAAGAGGAGGGAAGTATTTCAACCACATTTGAGCTTTTCAATTGAAGGTGTATATGGACTGTTTGAAGCAGTTAATGCATGTTGTTGTAATGGAGAGTTAGGACTTGAAGTTGTGCTAATGACCACTCCCCAACCAGGAATACTCACCATGGTCAGTCAGTATTACTCACTTGAAAATAAAATATTTAATCTCAAGTTTGAATTTTGTTGAGTTAATATTTAAGAAATATTTATTTCAGGATGGGGAAAAGCTTGAGAAGTTTGTGTTTTGGGCAGTTTCAATTGCTTCATCAAAAAGTAATGGTTCATTGGTATTGAAGCTTTTAAGGTGGTTGACTGCTTGTGTAATTCTTTCATGGCAATTGGGAGGTGAGGAGGGATCAAAAATGAAATGTTACAAAAGTTTACAATCTTTTCTGGAGGCAGGAGTAGTAGTAAGAGGGGTGGAATCTGAATCTGGCAATGAAGAATTATTAGGGGGAATCATATATTACCTTCAACAGAAACAGATTGTTGGGAGGAGGAAATATGAAGTAGCGCTTACGTCTGTTGTTTCTTCACTTTGTTTGTTGCTCTTTCCTCATTCCATTTCCTCCCACACTGACACAGACACAGACACAGACACAGACACAGACACAGACACAGACACAGACACAGACACAGGTAATATCAATTTATACTTATAATAATAATATCGTTTTAAACCTTCATTTATTATTTCTCCTAATTTCATTAGTTGTAAATAATGTATCCATTGCATTCCAGATGGAGAAAGTAGTTTGAGGTCGTTGCTATCCAGAATAGGCTCTCCCCCTGAAGCTGATCCTAAATGGAATTGGTAAAATTCTCATCTCTCTCATTGTCTTGTCTGGATAAAATATAAAATATAAAATATAAATGATGGAGGATGTTTAATAATAATAATAATAATAATAATTGATAGGTTTGGTTTGGTTTTATTTATTCCTTGTACAGGTCATTTGAGCAGCCATGGAAGGTGAGTTGTTCTGTAGATGAGATTGAAGCGTGCCAGTCTGTTTTAGTGGCGGTTTCAAATGTTCTTGGCAAAAACTTGTCACTTTCGCACTTTCTTACAAATTTAGATGTAGAAACTTCAACAAAACTCGTCTTCTAGAGTCTGACTCAATGAATCATGTATTTGTTATTCATTGCTAATAGAGAAAAAACCCTCCAAATTTTGATTATTAATCTTATCATTGTCCTTGTTGAAGGATAATATATTAGTATTAACATTAGTTACTCTCTATTAAGTATTTTTCAACCTATTCCACATTCCAAGTCAAGTTTCTACGCATCTAGTAAGTTGTAAACAAATCCAACCCACACCTACATTCACCAAATAATGCAATAATTTTTACTAAGACCAACTCTAACCTCAACACAATAATCTACACCATTTTTTGTCTCTAAGCCTATCATGCTATTTTAAATATTCATGAACAAAAACAAGCATATCATTCTGGTCTTTGTAACCAAAGAAGTTATGCCATTTTCTGAAACAGATTCATTATTTCAGAATAAACTAGATTAGATCATAGATGTATCTTTATGATCTGTGACATTTATAATCCGGAAAATAGCATTTTCCATGGTAGTTTTGGTGTATTATACTCGTACAACTAGCCATCATAGAAGGGTGTTGTTAAAGGATCAACAAATGTGGAATTATTTAACCAAAATTTTATGTCTTTCATCATTTTTAGTCAAACCCATTACACAAAATATCATTTTGAGTAGAAGATATATGAATATTCACAAAAAAAATGACAACATGATTTAAGAAGATATAGGAAAATGACTTAAATCTTGGCATTTGCAAATATATCGGCCATTTTTGGAATGAGCATTTTGGGTTTCAGTAAACATATAATGTTTATTTGTTTTTTATTTGCACCAAACATATTTCAAAATTTTAGAATGAAATAAAACTAGTCCTAAATGCTAACATTTTATTCACGACTTCCTTGTACTTTGGAATAAGGAATTAAGCAACATTACTCATGAACCATGATACCACCTCCCAACACAACTAGTAAATCACTATCCCTTTCCCTTTGGAGTCTCTTTTAAGTTGCATGTTGGGATAGTGATAATCGTGGATGATGAAGGTCTTGGTAGGAGCTGATGGTGGGTCTATTATGGCGAGACGAAGAACAGGAGGCGAAGACGATCGCAGAAGGTGTATGTTGGTGGCTTGGTGGTGGTAGTGTAGGTTGTGGTGGTGTTAGAGTGGAGAGATAAGGGTGGTCTCCTATATTTCAATTTAATTTGATTATGTGGCACATTAAACTCGTTATTTTAGGTTAGATGGACCAAATAAGCAGGTCAAAACTCACCTTATGCATCCATAAAGTCAGAAAAATACTTTAAGGGTCCTTTAAACTACAAGTCAAAAATTCGATGAGCTACAATGTCATTTTTTTCATTTTGTGATTTAATTATCTATAAATTCATATATAGATAATAAAGAAAAGATTTCCGTTGGGTAAAATAAAGAAAAAAACACAACACACGGTACTTTTTGAATGTTAAAAAGAAACCATTTCTCCATAATACCCAGTTTTGGAAAATGTTAAAATACTTAAAAGTACAATGTACTTTCACCCCCACTGAAGTAATATATTTTTTATGATGATTATTATTAATTATTATAATAATAGTTGAGTGGCTAAATGAATTGATGAAATAACATTTCACATTTTTCAGATGGTTGCCACGAGGACATTTTCGTTAGTTTGCTTTCATGTTGTACCTGCCAACAAAAATGAAGATTATGTGAACAAAGTCAACCGTCAACTTTTGGAAGCTGTCAACTCATCCGGAAAGATCTTCATCTCTCATACGGTATATCAATATGCCTGCCATGCTGTTTAAATTGTTTTATTTAACAATAGTTTTTTTTTAACCATATTAATTGTTTATGATATTAAAAAATTGATGTTTTTTTTGCAGGTTCTATCGGGAAAATATGTCTTACGATTCGTGGTAGGAGCTCCATTGACGGAAGAGAGGCATGTTATTGAAGCTTGGAAGCTTTTTCAAGAAACAGCCTCTACTCTTTTAACGAATTAATTCATTCCCAAACAAATAAATATTATTTCTTCAAAATATTTGATTTTCTGCAGCAATTGCTTATGAGGAAATATTTTCATCAACTTATTGATAAGTGTAATTTGTTCTGATATATAAATCATATGGAAGTTTATTTTTTCACACATATTTTTCTGATTCTATACATCAATTTCGTTTATTTTAAAAATATTCTGCAAACCAAAAATCGCAATTGATTCAATGTGTTGGTTTTGGTTAAAAAAAGTGTTGTTTAAAAAAAGTGTTGGTTTTGATATAGTCCTGAAATTGCAATTAAGTGGTCACCATCTTCCAAATTGCTATAATACAATTTCGATTTATAATATCTTTTTGGAAATTAATAATATTAATAACGATAATCATAAGAAAAATATAAATATAATAACAAGTACAAATAATATAAAAAGAAATTAGTAATAATAAATATTGGGAACCACCTTTATCTCCCTCTCTTGTAAACACACACACCCACCTTTGTCTTTCTCCCTCACATCCAAAAACATTGAAACTACACCTGCAAATCCATTTTCTCTACCTACGGAATATAGAGGGAGATCTAGATTTCAACCATTCTTAGTTCACTTATAATATGAAAAATGATTATTTGGATACTGTTTGAGACAAAAAAAAAGTGTTAAAGGAGACTAAGGTTGTAACACATATGGATGCTGAGAAGAGGTCATTGAAGGAGACTATAATGGGTAGGAGATCTTCTTCACCTCCAATTTGTACAAAACATCATCATTTGTTTTTCACCCATTAGATGAGTAACCAACTTCTTCTAATGCTCCTTCCATGGATGATCCTGATGTATGGAGACCACTAAATCGAGAAACTTCAAATTGAAGATCTGCAAGAGCTAGTTGAGGAGGTACAAGAAAGGCAAATCAAGATAGTGTTTAAGCTTAGAGATCTGCTACAAAAGGTGGAACAACTGCTCGTGGAGGGAGAACGGTTGCTTCTAGTAGAATTAACTAAGGAGTATGTGCTTCAACTAATGGGAAAAAGGACACTGGTTCAGGAAAGTCAAACACGGGGAAAGATGATGTTGTTGTAAGTTTTGTTGCCCAATATTTGTTTTGTTTGCACAAATTTCTGATGGGGATTTATTGACGATATCTATCGCCTCTATCACCTTCAATGTGTGTGTGAGGTGTTTTCCTTCAAGTGGGTGTGTTTGTGTGTTTTTTTCCTTCATTTGTAGGTTTAGGAGAGAGAGAGGCCCTATCTTATTTTTTAATTATTAAAATAAATAAATAAGTATTAAATGCAAAAGAAAAATAAATAAAAAATAAAAAATAAATAGACCAAGGGTATTACAGTCATTTCAATTTCGGATGGACCAAATATACAAAGAAACTAGCTCAAAAAACAAAATAATCCAAAATAGTTGAGGTTTGGACAAAAAAGAAATACATGTTACAGTGACAATTTTTAAGTTGTCTAATAGATAGGGGTGAACAAACCGGTTTTTTTTCCAAACCGAACCGGTTCGGTTCCGATTCGTGAATAGTAAAACCGGTTCAGGCATAAACCGGTTCGGTTCAAACCGGTTCCGTCTTAGAAAAACTCGAACCTATCTAAACCGGTTACACCGGTTCTAAACCGGTTCAATCGGTTCTAAACCGGTTCGATCGGTTTGACTACCGGTTCTAAACCGGTTCACGGTTATTAAACCGGTTCTAAACCGAACGGTTGCAAACCGGCGGTTCGGTTCCTGGTGGACCGGTTCGTAGTGAACCGATTTACCGGTTCAGTGACCGGTTCGGATCTTGAACCGGTTTTTTTGTGCAAGCCTACTAATAGAAGTATTTTAATTACTATAAAAATCTGTCAAATACTTTTCCTGGGCCGGGCTATTACTACTGTAAGCCCAAGATAAATGTAGGCGACCCAAACACACGTGCGGAGCACATGACAAGCATTTGCTTCCCCTCATCTTTTACAACCTCCTTAAACCCTAAAATCAAAATTGCGAATAAATAAACCCTACTTCTGTTGGTTTAGTTTTGCCTCCTTTATTTTTCGATTCATAAGAAAAGAGATGGGAGGAAGCGACAGTGAAGTAGAGAAATCAGCACACAAGGAGAAGGAAAAGAAGAAGCTTCAGGCCTTAGCTCCAATCGCTAAACCCCTTGCTGGCAAAAAACTCTCCAAACGTACCCTCAAACTCGTCCGCAAAGGTACAATCAATCATACTATCTCGCACACATTAATTTTCATCTTTAATTAATCTCAACGAACATGGTGAAACTTACTTAGCTGTGTATGTTTATGTATTGATGTTATTTAGCTGCCGAACACAAATGCTTGAAAAGAGGAGTCAAGGAGGTCGTGAAGAGCATCAGACGCGGTAATAAAGGGTAAGTTAGCAAGATTTGTTTATTCAAATTGATTGTATGAAGTTAGATCGATGAGTTCTTAATGTGTTATAGATCATTACTTGTTATTTAATTTACAAATCTACATGATAACAACAAGGTGAATCCATGGATGAATGCAGGGTGTGTGTTATTGCTGGAAACATAACTCCAATCGATGTCATAACTCATGTTCCAATACTATGTGAAGAAGCAGAGATACCATATGTGTATGTGACATCAAAAGAAGTAAGTTTTCCTTCTTCTTATTTTTATCTAGACTCGGCCATGGACATGGACATGAGAAAAATGGTATGGTGGTTGCAGGATCTAGCAAATGCAGGTGCTACAAAGAGGCCAACATGCTGTGTTTTGGTGCTCCCAAAGCCAACAAAGGGAGAACTTGGAGAGGAAATCCAGCAAAAACTCAAAACTGAATATGATGAAGTTGCTACAGAAATAACTTCACTTGCTGCATCTTTGTTTTGATTTTGATTGAGAACACAATTGTTTGTATCTTTCCTTATTTAACTTAAATCATGCACTTGAATTTATCAGTATTAGTATCAGTTGTTTAAATTTGTCAGTAAGCCTATCATGCTATTATAAATATTCATGAACAAAACAAGCACATCAATCTGGTCTTTGTAATCAAAGAAGTTATGCTATTTTCTGAAACAGATTCATTATTTCAGAATAAACTAGATAGATCATAGATGTATCTTTATGATCTGTGACATTTATATCCAGAAAATAGCATTTTCCATGGTAGTTTTGGTATTATACTAGTACAACTAGCCATCATAGAAGGGTGTTGTTAAAGGATCAACAAATATGGAATTATTTAACCAAAATTTTATGTATTTCATCATTTTTAGTCGAACCCAATACATAAAATATCATTATCAGTAGAAGATATATGTATATTCACATGTTACATATTACGGATATTCACAAAAATGACAACATCATTTAAAAGAAGATATAGGAAAATGACTTAAATCTTGGCAATTGCAAATATAACTACCATTTTTGGAATGAGCATTTTGGGTTTCAATAAACATATAATATTTATTTGTTTTTCATTTGCACCAAACATATTTAAAAAATTTAGTATGAAATAAAATTAGTCCGAAATGCTAAAATTTAGTATAAAGCCTTCATTTGTACATGTGTTGTTCTCATTTCCCACATTGAAAATGACCTTCACACTCTTTTAAGCTTCTTATTTTTATATTTTCAAATAACATGATTCTCACATAAAATATTGTAGTCGAGTTGCTGATGGCCTGATGCTCAACAACCAATTGCAATTGTCATTCCTACAAGAGGCTCGGGATTTAGTATGAAATTATGTGATGGTTATATTTCTTGGCATGAGTTTCTAGAAAGAGCTAAAAGTTAGAAGTATGTTTGCTTATATGTATATAGCTTACCGTATTAAGTATTAAGTTGTGTATAGATAAAGTTGTTGAATGGGTAATGATGACTCTTATGGATAAATTGTTATATACATAAGTTTTTTTTTTTAAAATCGAACAAAACAAGTGAACGCGACTAAATAATCATTTTGGCCTTAAAAATGGTTTGGTGGTGGCAGGATCTAGCCAATGCGGGTGCTACAGAGAGGCCATGATGTTGTGCTTTGGTGCTCCCAAAGCCAACAAAGGGAGAACTTGGAGAGCAAATCCAACTAAAACTGAAAACTGAATATGATAAAGTTGTCATAGAAATATCTTCGTTGCATCTATGTTTTGATTGAGGACACAATTGTTTGTATCTTGCCTTCATGCACTTGACTTGAATTTATCAATATGAATATTAGTATCAATTTTTTTAAATTTGTCACCAAGCCTATCATGCTGTTTTAAATATTCATGACCAAAAGACTTTTTAGGTTATGTTATTTTCTAAAACTAAAAGTATTTCAGAATAAACTAGATAGATCATAGATGTAGCTTTATGATTTTCTATGTATATATTACGGTTCTAACGGTGGTATAGTGATTTTTTATATTGTGTAGACAGGGACGGAACATGGACATTTTAACCGGATGGGCCGAAACCAATGTTCATTGTTTTATCATTTTCATGTAGACTATGTAATATGATTTGCTAATAGATAACAAAATAGTAAAATAGAATAAAATTTTAATAATTATATTTGAATACAACTAATTATTCTAACTATACTAAAACTACATTTACAAAATTAGTAATCGTACATTATTGGCAATTAGCGGATCGTTTTACTAACTTAATTTTTCTAAAAACTCTATAACATTCTTTTATTTAAATAAATATTAGCCTAAGAACTAACAAACATCAAATCACATTAAAAACAGCAAAGCGTTATAATAACCTAGTTAATTCTCTTAAAAGTAGTGCAACTTTGTGTTTATCTTTAAAAGTTAGTTATTTTAAGAGTAAATTACACAAATGGTCCCTATGGTTTGGGGTAATTTGCGCGCTTAGTCCCTAACTTATTTTTTTAACTCGGAAAGTCTCTACTATTTGTTTTAGTTACGCGCTTGGTCCCTACTGTTTGTTTTTGTTACACGTTTGGTCTCTGTCTTACTTAAAAAGACAATTATTTACATAGGAAAAAATTGTGGGGCAGGTAAGATAAGGTGAGTGAGTGGGGTTGGGGGTGTATTTATTTAAATAAATTAAAAAAATCAAGGGCAAAATAGTATTTTTAGGTAAGACAGGGACCAAACGCGTAACAAAAACAAATAGTAGGGACCTTCCGAGTTAAAAAAATAAGTTAAGGACCAAACATGCAAATAACCCTAAACCATAGGGACTATTCGTGTAATTTACTCTTATTTTAACATTACATATAAAAATACCTATATCATTAACTTGGGCCTAATGGTTAGTTACCAAATAAAACCAAACTTTTATATATAATATAGTATTAAGGAGGTCAAAAAATAAGGGCCCCTGTGATCATATAAAGGATCCGTCACGGTGTAGAATATATATATATATATATATATATATATATATATATATATATATATATATATATATATAGGGGACGGTTCATTTGAGATTAAAAAAAATAGAGATCTTAAGATTCAATCTGAGTCATATATTTTTCATTTGTCACTCTAACGTTCCAACGTACTGGCAACAACATTTATGTCTAATCATAAATGATTATACATATATGTCTGTTCACAGACTGAGTATTCATATATGATTATGACAATTGATGGCAGAAGATATAGTGGTGACAGAGGTGCCAGTGGTATAAGTGACGGATGTGACAATGGTAGGGTCGGATGGTGTCAGAGAGAGAGAGAGAGAGAGAGGTAGGTTCAAATGTTTCTTACATCTATTGTGTGCTAGAATAAACCAATAATAATTTAGTAAAAATTAAATTATTAATTACTCAAATAAAGATAGATATTAAACGATTTCCATAATTATATGTATATTAAATGATATCCATACTTATAATTCTTTTTTTATGAAACTAATTAAATTCGTCATTAATGTCAACAATAATATTCTTTCAGGAATGAATTCGTATATAGAAGAATGGTAGTGTATTCTAGCAAAATAAGAGCTCTTCATATTCCATGCAACTTTATTTATTTTAAGTAAGTGAGTCCTGAAACAAAACACGAATTCATACATAAAAACCTATTGCGAATATTCATTCTGAAAGAATGTTATTGCTGACATTAATGAAGAATTTAATTAGTTTCCATAAAAAAAGAATTATAATTATGGATATTATTTAATATATATATATATATATATATATATACAATTATAGAAATCATTTAATATCTATCTTTATTTAATTAAATAATTATTAAATTTACTAAATTTCTGTTAGTGCATTCTAGCACACAATAAATATAAGAAACACATTAACCTAGCCATATATATATATATATATATATATATATATATATATATATATATATATATATATATATATATATATATATATATATATATAAATCTTAATCAGTTAATCATACTCAAAAGTTCAACCAAACCTAATTAATCATATTTCATCTATGCTATCAATTGCGTTCTATTGCGATTTGCAGGAAGTCAAAACTGTTATTTTCAAAAATAGAGTTTTGGAATAGCAGTGACACTATCATCGACGTTATTTACCACGAATCCCATCAACACTATAGCGACGCTACACCAACTTTTACAAATTCGTCCATATTAGGTTACTTTGACAAATAAAAAAAGATTACGGGCTATTTCAACATTAAATTTGTTTTTTTTAATTAGTTAAATACACTTTCTATTTAATAAGTGCAACAATAAAATAACAAACCTAATTAGAAACTAAAAAGCAACGAACAACTTATCTTTTCCTGTATATGGAAACCACCACGACGTGAGCTGTCTACTGTGATGTTCGATCTTTCCATATTACTATATTAGAACACTAGGTGTAAAATCTATGTATTACATGGGTTAATTAAAAAAAATAAATATGAAAGTGTAAATATTTAAGAACTTTGGATTTATAAGAAAATAAGAAAAATAATGAATTATTAAAATTGATTTTTTTTATCTTTTAAATTTAAATATATAAACAAAATAAACTAATGAGCTTTAATTTGGGAATTTTGAAATAAGAAGGTAAGTCCATTAATGAAATTGATATTCATTTATTACTACATTTATTGTAATTATTACATTAAAGTATTATGTAGAATTTATTAAAATAGAAAAACTAATAAAATGACATGTGGAAAAGAAATTAATTCAAAATAATCACAAAATAACATTTGACAAATTGAATGATAGTGTCACATGTGGCAAAAAAAACCTTCATTTATTAGAGTAGATTACATATGCTTATGGTATGTTTTTATGATTTTTTATGATATTATTCTATATAGTATTAATATTCGAATATATAAATTCTATATACATTTATAATATAAATTATACATAATAATATACCACCGCTATACCACCACGATTTCAAATAATGGCATGTTGCCGATATTGAAATTTGGACAACTATAACTGCATAGTACTTCACGTATCATAATTAGTTAATCTTACTTCATATGACCTTTTTCCAATATTAAAATTAATCATACTTTAACACAATCAACAAGAAAAACAATCAACAAGAAAACATAAGCAATATTTAGCATGTTAATCATACTTCAACACAGTCACTTTTAGCAAATTAAATAAAATGATTAAGAAAATACTGCAACACTTCAAGTCTTCAACACAACTATAAAGACAACACATGGTTTTAATGGAATGGCACAAAAATGTTTTCTTTATGTGAAATAGCCCAAAATTGGTTTTTTTTTTTTTTTTTCAAATAACGGTTATAGCGGTGAGACCATAATCACAATAAATGTTTGTGACGCTAATACTGTCACCGCTATTTGGTAAATCACGTTCTTACACCTCTGCGAATAGCTATAGCATGTGATTAACTGCCCAGGTAATTACCACTCTAACCCTAACCTTACCAATAAACAAACTGTCTTAAAAATAAATAAAAAAAACACCGACTTGCACAGAATTTTTGGTTTCCGATAAACCCACCAACCAAGCATAGTTCCAAAACAATGAAATAATTCTTTTCGGTTTATAAAACTTACTAACCCAAGTGAAGTGAAGTGAAGTGTATAAAAGTTAGAAAAAACAAACAATTTAAAAAATTTCAAGAGTTTGACTTTACATGCACATTATGGCCGGTTTTCCTTCTGTGGCGGCTATAATCAGATACAAACCTGAAAGTACGGTGACAGCCTTCAACCGTACACTTGTAGGGCCTCTCACCAGTGTGGACCCGTAAATGCTCAGTCCTGGCCCAGGCCCATTTGAATGTCATCTTGCAACCTTTCCAACTGCACTTAAGAGGCCTGTTATCTTCATGGACACGTAAATGGAGCACTGCATATCTATGCGAACTGAACTTCTTCCCACATCCATCATGAGGACACCTGTTCTTTCGATGCAACCCTAGCTCTCTTTTACTCCCGAACCTCAATTTGCAACCTTCATGATCACATCTATGGGACCCGGACCCTTGTTCCGTGATTTTGACTTTCGAACAAGACTTTGACTTGTCTGTGGATTTTTCTTTCACATTGGTTGAAGCTTTTGCTTTCTTTAAAGGTTTTTCTTTCACATTGGTTGTGTCTTTTCCACCTCTCGGTCTTAATCCTTCACATGGGCTTCTTATAAATCCATCAAAATCTCTCTTCCTTCTTTTGCTTCCACTTGTTCTTGATACAGGAGGGGTATTTTCGTCACTTTTCTTTGACCCAATGCTAATACTCGGATCCGTTTCCATCAAACCATCTTCATTAACAACCTCCTCCTCTCTGCTGCACTCTTTTCCAGAACCTTGCTCATTTTGCATACTCATTTCCTCATCTTTTTCAATAGTTGTGGCACATGACACTGAACCTGACGAGTTTTCAACACCACATTTGTCTTCAAAACCTTGTTTCTGCTTTTGTGATGGAATAATGGAATCATCCAAAATAACCTTGTCTGTGTTTTTTTCATGATTTTTGAGCTTTGACTTGAAGCTTCTTCTTGAATACTGAATAAACTTCCCTTCTTTTTTAGGCATTTGAGCTTCAGATGACTTCTCTTTCGATTTCACATCGTCTGTGACGGAAACAATCTCTGATGATTTCTTGATCCAACGGTTTGACTTTCTGTTTGACCGAGACTTTGTAGCTTGCCACTGAATCATTGCTTGTGAGGTGGGGCTTGTGTCAGCAAATAGAGCATCCATAGTCAAAGCACTATGTATTATATGTATCATCTTGTCAGGTGCTGATTTAGGGCAGCTGGCTTTAACAGATTGTCGAAGATTAACATTCAATTTCAGTGTCCAGTCTTGTAATGATTCATCTTCCTGCTCATTGTCAATTGCAAGATTTATCACCTCCAAATCATCCCTGCTGGCATCATGTAATTCAACATCTTCATATCTAAACATGCTACCAATCTCCTCTGCTATGGCTGAAACTTGTGCCTTAATTTTCAGAAAATCTACAAACAGTAGTATATAATAAGTTAGTTTCAACTCAGGCAAAAAAAAATCGAATCGTTGAAAAAAGAAAATAGAAATTGTGAATGATGACCTGAATGGCATATTATAAGCAATTTTGCTCCACCTATGGAGTCCAACAGCTCTTCAACTTTGCTTGCATGCTCTAAACAGAATATTCTAGGTCTTAAATACCCATTACACATGTTCCATCCATTGTCAACATTCACTTTAGATGAACATGTTGAAGACTCATCCTTGGCATTAACCACTTGTGTTTCTGAAGATGCAATATTTGGATGATCATCTTTCATTGGCATGTTATCAAACAACACTTTTGGTGATGGTTGTATAACAGACATGAAAGGATAACCAAGAACACCACAAGCCACACATGGTAATGTCCCTGAATCAATTTGAAAATCACTCGACATGTCCTCATCCTCTACATGAACAAGTTTTTCATTGTCTTTTTCAACATGAAACTTTTCAGTTTGTGGATTGATGATTGTACTATTATTAATGACAGATGGTGAGAGGGAATCAAGATCCCATAGGACTGCATGATAAGAGGAAGATCTATTAAGAATACAAGTCAACAGTTTGTTTTCTTTGAGAATATCTTCAATGAATTCCTTCTTCACCAACAGCTCACGTTCTTCTTTCTGACGATCTTTTAAACGAGAGCTTCTTATCCCTGGTAACAAGGACCTAGGCACCCTGCCATTAAAATACATTTAAACAATATTACAAATTTACCCTTCCTGATATAATTTGGAATAACTCTTTCTAGCTTCATATGTCAAAAGACTTAGAAAGATTTCTAGCTCACCTTGGAATAAATGACATGGTAAGTAGGTAAAGCAGCTGTTGATGTGAAAGCATAGGAAGAAAATTCATGGCAGCTCTGCGCACTGCAGCCTCTTTAGCTACTGAAAGCCACTTTGGGGTTCCAAAATTAGCAGCTTCCCCACAATTGAAACCTTTAAAGACAATGGTTTGATATTAGAGTCTATAAAAGTATAAATATATCAGACCACAAAAAAAAAAAAAAATCTGCAAAACATTACCATGGCTGAATCCTATGTGGTAAGCCCTTGGAAAGGTCACTACAAATTCACCAGGGTTCTGTACTAACCTGCAAGCATGAAACAGAAGAAATTTTCAGTAGAATGTCCCAAATCTCAACAATATGTTTTACACAATTAGTTTGAGATTTTCCAAAGGAAGTTGACAATGTGAAGTGAAAGGCATAAAAGCATGGATTTTGAACAAAGAAATAACACACCTGCAACATGGAATGCCAGATGCAACAACAGTTTCAGGTGATAGAAGGGTAGTCTTTTCGCCCAAGAGTGTTAGAGAAGCTGTTAAACAAAAATGGAAGGAGCTTTATGAAATGAATTGCTAAAGAAGTAATTTGAAGCCCTAGACATTCCATGTTGACAAATAGTCATTATATAAGTTCATTTTTTCTTCTTCTTAGAAATGCTTTAAGAAGGTGAGAGATGCATATTATAGCAGCTCTTTTTATATGCATTGCAATGCCAATGATATAATCAAGAGTAAGCATTTTACATACCTAACCGATCTACACCTCCACCATAAGCCTTTGAACGGATTACTTCCTCAAATGTGAATGCATAATCCCCAGGGACTGCATACCAGGTCTTGGGGAGAGCCAATGTGGAGGAAATTTTAAGCTGTGAAGCTCATGATCTTCAACATGCCATGCAAACCAGCTGAATAACATGCCAATGTATACCATGGGAGAAGTGACACCTGGAATATCATCCGGCATGAAACGTGTAAGAGATCCAGGAGATCTTGCAATTACTTGTAAATTCCAAGGACAATTGGAAAGCTTCCATCCTGAAGTCCCTTCAATCTCATCTGAAACCCTTTGTCTGGCAACACGATCTGACAACATATTCAGTGAACTGGAATTGGATTCTACCGAAGAACTAGAGCTACTGCACCTTATTATAGATTCTTCACCTTTCTGGTTTTCACAATTGTTGCTTTTATCTTCTACTTGTGATCTTACATCAGAACAATCTTTATTGTTTCTATCAAATGTCTTTCTCCTTCTCCTATGCCTATGTACTAATCTAGATGGTCCCACTGGTTCACCAAATCCTGATCCAGGCACATCATTAGCATACTCAATATATATAGGCTTCTCACAAGCTGCCTTCCAGAAAAGTGACTCTATAGCCAATGGAGAAACTTCTTTAATCATACTCAAATGGCTTCGAGCAAAATTCTTAGACTTGGATTCAAACTGTTCCAATGTGTAAACTTCCCCACTTTGCCATACTTGCTTATTCACAGGAGGAGGCTGACATGTCCCTTCCCCAACCTCTTTTGTTCTTTTCACACTGCTATGACCTAATTCTTGATGCCTTGTTGTAAAGACTGCACGAACCTCCCCATCATTTATTGTTTCCACATTATTCAGTTTTACATCGTTCCCCAATTCTGGACACTTGAGAAGAGATTTATTTAGGTTACCTACAACATACTTTTTTGAAGGTTTTGGCAATGGCGGAATAACTTTACATATACCATATGCACTAGCTTCTTTCTCAATCTTGGAGATATAAGCAATTGGGTCTGCAAATTCCGTATCCGTTGGGTAAAATACGGGTGCCAATGGCAATTCCTTGAGCCAATTTGGTATTTCCTTGTCCCTCATTACTATCAAGAACAATCACAAGCATAACAGAATCATTCAGCAGACACCACAAAAACTACTCATAAATACTAAACGGGCACAGATGATTTGTTGTTATAATCAATTAAAACCCTAGACTTGGTTTGCCCATGGGCCTGTTATGACGGGAACTACAAATTTAGGGCAAAATTTATTCTATCCAAACAACTATAACAACGAATTCAATACACTTATTAGCAGCAGAACCTGTAAACTTCAATGGCATGCGAAGTCTTTGACCTCCGAAAGCCCCAGAGAGAGAGAGAGTGAGAGAGAGAGAGAGAGAGAGAGAGAGAGAGAGAGCAAGAAATATACGTGTGTGCGTGTTCTCTTCCCGTTTTATCATTTATGCAACCGAAAGAGGAAAGTTGCGCATGTTAGCATTGTGATGTACTCATCTTAAAGTGCGCCAGAATATTTCCAAATTTGCAACATTTCCCTTTCTATATTATCGCTTCTTCCATGTTAAAAAAAAATGTATATTAAGTTTTTTATTTAGATTGTTTTTGTTTCCAAATTAGCGTTAATTGAAGTCATTATGGGCGTGTTTGGTACGGAACGTTTGAGAACGTTTTAGAGCTTCTAACTTCTAGCATTTGACAAACGCTCCGTTTTGAACAGAAAACATCGTTTGACACAACAAGCTTCTAGCGTTTAGTTTAAACAAAACACTCTAAATTCAAGTGCTACTTCATATAGCGTTTAACAAAACGTTACAGGTTACAAGCTACCCGCTACCAGCTAATTTTGTCGAACACGTTCAATGTTTATTGAAAATTTTAATTTTGACATTTTATTTTTTTTCAAATATATTATTACATTTACTGTTTTATTGTAATATCAACCAAATCTTCTCATAACCAATTTGCTCAAATTGCAAAAGAAAAAAAAAAAAAAAAAAAAAACTATGTCAGAATTAAATTTTCCTTAACTTTATTGCTATTTGCTAACTTTATTGTTATTTGCCATTAAAAATAAATGATATCATGTGACTTATGATTAAAGTGTAAGGCTTTATATTCTTTCTCTTTTACACACACATACATACATATATATATATATATATATATATATATATATATATATATATATATATATATATATATATATAAAGGTAAATGCATTGGGCTTCAAGGGAATAGGGTTTAGACACTATTGGATGTTGATAATATTGGTTATGAGATCCAAGTTCTCGGTTTGTGTTTTGGAGTCAAATGGTAAAATGGGAAAAGTGATGTTTCAGACTTTTTTCATGAAATAAGGATTTTAGTTCGGTATGTTTTAAGTCAAAAATAATTAGATAGGATTTTGGGGCTCTTCAATACCTTTATGTGCATATAAGGAACGCTGAAAATGGAGTTAAAACGAAGAAATTATAGTTGTTTGAAGTTGAAGTGGAAAATGGGGGCTTTTGATTACGCATGACGTAATTTAAAGTTACGCAGGGCGTAACGATGTAACGACCCTATTTTTCAAAGGAAATCTTTTTCATTTTTAATTAACCAAAACACATTCCCATAAACCGTGAAATCCAAATACAATTTTTTCAAAACTCATATCAATTAAAATTTTATTTCAAAACGTCATAAGGTCCCACAAAGTGTCTGAGAGAGTGCACATGCGCCATCAAGCCTTGTCCTTGCCCTTGGGCTCAGATGTACCTGAAATAAATCCACAAACTGTAACTTAATGCTTAGTGAGTCCCCCAGAGCACACCCCACACCCAATCCACATAACACATATCATATTAGCTATAAAAGCTACACATATCATATAAGCCATGCATACAACATATAAGGATGTCGCGGGCTCCCCCCAGGGTCTTATACCCTCGTGTCATGGGCTCCCCCATGGTCTTTACCTAGGAATTCCATGGGCTCCCCCACATGGTATTAAATCCAAGTGCCACGGGCTCCCCCCGGGGTCTTCCATGCAAATCACATATATAATCAACTAGCATATCATATATCACAGAGGTATCTATCATATTACCTAACATATACATAAACATATAGGGATGTTGTGGGCTCCCCCCAGGGTCTTATACCATCATGCCATGGGCTCCCCCACATGGTCTTCACCTAGGAATGTCATGGGCTCCCCCACATGGTCTTATATCCCAACTGTCACGGGCTCCCCCCGGGGTCTTCCATGCAATAACATACATAATCACTAGCATACCACTTAGCATAAAGCTAACTATCATACTGCATATCTCTACTACAGCTAGTGTACCACATATCATAAAATGGGTCGGCCTTGGTGTCGTAGACCCATTGGTATGGTGAGAAGACTCACCTCTCGGATGCTGAACTGACAAGCTAGAATCAGATATGTCCCCCGTGCAGCTCCAACTCAACTACCTATAACCAACATATGATTAACTTGTCATAATCCCATAATTACCCTCAAAGTCAACCCTGGTCAACCCCGGTCAAAGTCAAGGTCAACAGTCCATGTTGACCTCAACTCGTCGAGTGCATCTAGCAACTCGTCGAGTTCCTGCAGAGTCCAGAACATCTGAACAAACCCTAGCCAAATCGCCGAGTTGGTTCATCAACTCGACGAGTTCACTTAATATCCAATCGACGGGGAAACCCGATCCGACTCGTCGAGTTGCCAGGGCGACTCATCGAGTCCCCCTCCCTGTTTGCTTATTATGATGATCCATCGAATTCAGGGACTCCAGGGTTTAGATCTGAAACCCTAAGGTGTCTGAAAGGATAAAGTTTCCAACTTTACCTTCCAGAACCACTCTAAATGCTCTAAGGCCCTTATAAAAGGTTGAAAGCTCCAAAGCTTTGCCATTTGGTCCAATACTTTAGGGATCTAGAATTCCTTCTTTCCATAAGGGTTTCTAGTCCTCAAAACATTCCAAAGATGGAGGCTTTCTTGACATACATGTCCAATGCATGTCTTTAAGCCAAAATGACCAAAAAGGGGGAAAATACACTAAAAACCCTTGCATGGCATCCTTGCTTGACCAAAAACTAGATCTAGCCCACCTTGGGACTATTTTGCCCTGAAGATTCATAAAGTTGCAAACTTTATGAACCCTATGCATGCAATCAACAAGAATGATGGGAAATGAAGAGTAAACTCAAGATCTAGCCATATTCTAAGATAAAAATCGAGTCTTGAAGACTTACAACAGTCCACAATATGATCAAGCTCAAGAGTAAGGGATTGGTTGCTGGATCTCCTCCTTCTTCTCACTATCTCCTTCTTCTTAAGCTCCCCAAATCACTCTTAGCTCACAAAATGGAAGAGAATGGGGATTAGGGTTTAGCACAGGCGTTTTAGGGTTTGGAGGTTGATGAAATGTCATCCTCAAGGTCCTTAAGGAGATTATATAGGGTGCAAACCCTAAAAATTAGGGTTTCTCTTTACAGCTCCTACTCATCGAGTCGGGCCTTCTGACTCGTCGAGTAGGACCCAACTTCTGCGTCCTCTTGATATCCTCCACTCGACGAGTCGGGGCTTCCAACTCGTCGAGTCCCAACACCAAAACCCTAGAAGTTTGAAAATTACATTAATACCCGGAATAGGTGTTACAAACGAGGGTTTAATGGATTACACATCGCGTAATTTATGTTACGCATGGCATAATATGGGCAGATCAAAACCCTAAATCTTCGGTTTTGAGCCATATTTAAGGGCTCTAACTTATGGGAAACCCTCTCATTACCAGCCTCCATCACCTAAGATCATTTCTTGAGAAACCATAGCCTTTTCTCACTTGTTTTTGAGCCTTGGCATCATTTATAAACTTATTTCTCCATTGGAAAGTTAAATCTTGAAGAACAAGGTAGTGACAAAGTGTATAAAAGAAGAGTTCAAGTATAGATCCAGCAAGATTATATCATTCCTGGACCACTGTGAGTAAAAAGCTTCTAACATGCTCATTGGTTTCATAGATCTAGTCATTTGTCATATTTGCCCCTTTTTGGTCATTTTATTGCATACATTTTAGATCTTGAAAGTTTGTGACCTTGTTATGGATAAAGTTGAAAACTTTATCCATCTAAACATCATATTGATTCAAATCTAAAGGTGGAGACTTGGACTTAATGGATTAAGTTAAGAAAGATGAATTTTGGATCCTTCTAGGAGTTAAAGACTAGATCTTGTTGTTTGGACTATCTGGTGGATAAAGTTGGAAAATTTATCCATTATTGAGCTATTAGGAACCTGGCCTGATCTTTGAGTAATATATCTTAATGTACTAAGGACTTAAAAATGGATTTTGGTAACTGTAACGCCCCGATTCTCAGGTATTGATTTAATATATGAGTTTCTTGATTTCAAGGGCTACTCGACGAGTTGATTGCCCTACTCGTCAAGTAGCAGTGGGTTTGTCCACGCATTTTAATAACCTACTCGCCGAGTCCAAGAAGGGACTCGACGAGTAGGAGCTGGCAGATGAAACCCTAAATCTCGGGGTTTTGCACCCTATTTAAAGGATCATTGGCCTCCCCCAGCCTCCCCTTTACTGCTTCTTGTTCCTCTCAAACCCTAATCGAGTGTGTGTGTTCCATTTGTGTATTCTTAAGCTTGGAAGAGGATTTTTGTGGAGAAGGGAGCTCGGAGATCAAGTATCCAGAAGCAAGGAGCTTGTTGGATCTGAAATCTATCTTATTTGGCATCTTCTGGAAGGTATAAATCACTACCCTGACCTCATTGCATTTCTAGATCCCCTTTTTGGACAAATTTTAGGGTTTTCCCTAGTATGTTTGGAAGCTTTTCTTGTGTATAAGCTAGGATCTGAAGTTGTAACTTCAGAACTGAACTCTCTTGGGCTTCTAAGTCCATAAAGTTTCCAGCTCTTGCAAGGATGAGACTATCCTAAGGTGTAAAGCTCCATTAGAAGCTTAGATTGGTCATTTAGAGCCTCTAGGGCCTTGCATGCGTGTAAAATTTGCAACTTTACGTGATAAACATGCCTTAGAAGCTTGGATCTGTAATCTAGAACCTTGGCATGGCTTAAAAAGTGTCTGCATGGATGAAGGTCTGAAAGGACTCGGCGAGTTGCATAGTCAACTCGGCGAGCCATATGAAGATGGCCACGTACTCGACGAGTTGGATGAACAACTCGGCGAGTCCGTTGAAGATTGCCTTGAACTCGGCGAGTCGACTAGGGTTTTTCTCAACCTTTGGTCGCGTATAGGGGTGTAAACGAGCCGAGCCGAGCCCGAGCCTAACCAAGCTCGAGCTCGACTCGTTTAA